CCAATACTATGTTCAGGAATATATGTGCTTTTAAATTCTCCCAACAGACTATCTGACAAAAATAAAGTTTAGAATTATTTTTTTTATGGAAAATAGCTTAGTTGACAACTGCATGTTATAAAACCACCTGACTTCTGAATCCTTCACTAAATCTGGATGTTAAACATTAAGTTTTCACAACCAAATGTTCCCTTGTACATAATAATATGAAGGGAGCTAGATTATGTAATAGGTAACACCAACACCATGCATGTCTTCTATTTCATATGGATGTTGAACAATAGGCAAAGTTCCTGCTGAATCCTTGTTTTGAGGCAACAAAAGGGATGTAGATGTAGCTGTGTTGCTTCTCACATGATATTCTACCATAGGCACTTTCTATAGTGTACCACCTGCCTACTAGTCTGTTACCAGAAGGAAAGGGTTGGGAGAGGTCAAAGAGTGTAAAGGAAGTCAAATATATATAGTGGTGGAAGGGGACTAGACTTCATGGAGTAAGCACACAGTGGAATACACAGATGATGTACTATATGGTTGTACATATGAAATATATGTGATGCTATTAACCAATGCTACCCCAATAAGTTTAATTTAAAAAAAAAACAGAATTCCTCTCATTTAGCCTTTAATTCAAAGATTTTCTCTTGAACCCTAGCTAAGTTTCAGATCATATGTCAGGTCTTAGGGGACTTGTCTGCTTCATCTAAAGAACCCCTTCTTCCATAACTACCCGTATATTTATATTCTTCAGAACATCTTTCAAATTCTGGAACTGTAGTAGTCACTTATGTTTACTTTTTTCTTAACCAGTATGTAAATTGAAATGAGAATAGGATTCACAAATGTGTGGTTTCCAGCTGAATTCTAGTGCCTAGTGTAGTTCCTAAATGTAAAGAACTTTGTAAAACTCTGAATAAATGTATAGTTGCATGGTTTGAATAAATATCTATTTGTGTGAATGACTATTTGAATAAATCACTGTTGATGACTGATTAGTTAATAAATCAGACTGAATTATTACCTTATTTTAGTAAGTAGAAGAAGAAAACAATAACTTTTCCTTTATATGTTTCATGTCCACAAATAGAAAATTATCTGAGTTGTCTTTCTTCTCCTCATTTTTACCCTTAGACAAATCTAAATTGAGAATTCTTATAGCAGAGAGCTCCCCAGGTCTTCCTACCATTTGCTCAACTGCAGGATGGAGAAGTCTCACTTCTCAACAGCATGTGTGACAACAGCTTGGGAATTTTTGTTGAGAATATGCTCAAGATGAGTCGACAGAGAATGTTGTTTCTACAAAAACACATTATATCTCAGACTGTGAATGCAAGTCTGATGTTAAGTCAAGGGAGGTGATTTCTCACTCTGATCTTTGTTGGCAAGGCTACTTGTAGAGTTTTCTGTCAACATGGGAGCCACCAGGGAGAGCCTACTACACATTCACAGAAGGAATATGTATAGATGAGGAAGATCAGAGAAAATAGACATAAAAAAACAAGGGCCAACCTTGTTTTTTCCCAAAACCATAGCATTGGGAAGACTGTTGTGTTGGGAAGAGAAAGATGTAGGCTAATCTGACTAGTAAATGATTAAACAAAAACCAGCTAGCAAATGGTAGAACAGAATTTGAATGCAGCATGCAGGTTGGGGAGGAACCCAGATATGTATTCATATTCCATTTCTACCACCTTTTAGCTATTTGACTTTGGGCTAATAAATTATGTGAGTCATGCTAACTTTATCTGCTAAATGAGTATCATTTATTCTGTTCAAACTGTTTTCAAGGTAACCAAATAGCTCCACTGATAGAGTTATACAAAGTATTCTAGCTCTAAAAGTGAAAGAAAAAAGATTTACACAAAACACCATTCAATCCCTAATGAAAGAACTTATCCATGTGAAATGAATAGATGATTTGGGACATAGATCATGGCTTCTTAACCTGGGTGAAGCAAGGGGAGTGACTCATGACCAACTAGGGGAAGGTGCATGGAGAGAAGAGAGGAAATTCATGAAAATGCATAAAGATATATGGAAAACCAGCAGCAATTTGTTTTTACTAATGTCCTTTTTTTACTATACAATTTTAATTAATTTATTTTATTAATTATTTTAGAGAGAGAAAGAGACATCAATTTGTTGTTCCACTTATTTATGCATTCATGTGTTGATTCTTGTATGTGCCCTAGCCTGGGATTGAACCCACAACCCAGATGATGCTCTAACCAACTGAGCTACATGGCTAGGGCCTATGTTTTCACTAACTGCTAACTGACATTTCTCATCTCCTTAAATCACAAATGTATGTAGTAACAGTATTATTAACATTAGTAACACTAGTACCTATGATTTTTATCGTGGTACAAAACAGATATTTTTAAACTATATAAAGTGATAAGTTGCCCAGGTTGGGTGGGTCAATTGGTTGGAGCATTGCCTGATACACCAAAAGGCTGCAGGTTCAAGTGCCAGTTAGGACACATACCTAGGTTGTGTGTAAGATCCCCCATCAGTTGAGTACAAGAGGGGACTCCAAAGAAAACCGGAATTATCTTCTGGAGGGCAAGCCCTTTTTAGTACAGACTTCCCCTGCTAGGTGAGTGTTCCAGGAACCCATCTGTATCAGTGTACCAGCTGGCATAGTTGTGAGAAGCTATGTTCAGATTTAGTGAATTATTTTGAACATTCCTTTTTATTGTTATTCAAATACAGTTGTCTCCATTTTTACCCCACCACAGCTCCTGACCCACCCATCCCTGCCACCCGCCCTCCATCCTACCCACTTTGGCTTTGTGTCTTTGTGCCCTTTTTCATGTTCTTTAATGGACTTTCCCCTATTTTTCCCCATTATCTGTCTCCCCACTCCACTCTGGTTACTGTCAGTTTGTTCTTTATTTCAATGTTTCTGGTTCTATTTTGCTTGCTTATTTGTTTTGTTGATTAGTTTCCACTTATAGGTGAGATCATATGGTATTTGTCTCTCACCGCCTGTCTTTCACTTAGCATAATGTTCTCCAGCTCCATCCATGCTGTTGAGAAGGGTAGGAGCTCCTTCTTTCTTTCTGCTGTATAGTATTCCATTGCATAAATGTATTGTGTGTGTGTGTGTTTTTTTATCCACTCATTTACTGGTGGGCATTTAGGTTGCCTCCTTTAACATGTCTGCCCATTTCATGATGGGTGATTCAGTAAGTGCCCCTGCCCACACTGTGCTGAGTGTTCAGCAGTTTTTGACCAAAAACCTGCATGACTGCCGTGTCCCATCCTTCCCATTTACTCGATCTCACCCAATCTTGCCCCAAGACACTTTATTTGTTTCCCCAAATGAAAAAAGTACTCAAAGGGAAACATTTTTTTTTTTTGCTGATATGGAAGAGATGAAACAAAAAATGGCAGAAGCGCTAAAAGGCATCAAAATCAATGAGTTCAAAACCTGTTTTAAATAATAGAAAAAATGTTGATAGTATTGCATCAAATGAAGAGTGCTTTGAAGGTGACTGAAGTTTAAACATGTAAGAATAAATGCACAATTCTTTATAAATAAATTCTGGGGTTTGGGGAGGGTCCCCCTCATATGAGAGGCAACTGATTGGTAACTGCCACACCCTCTTCCAACCATGTTTTCTGACAAGGTCTGAACATGGAAAGAGGGCATTCAAGGAATCCATCTTCCTGGAAGAGAGCGTGGCATACAAAGGGGGGGCGGTAATTTTTCTGGGGATTGCTTTTAATAATTTCCTTGCTAATATTAAGCATGGTCTTACTTTGTACCCTGATTCCCATAAGAACAGGCCATGAGAAGAAAGAGGCTCAAAAAGAGTCAATGATTGATTTTGAGGGAAATTCTGAAGGGACAACTAGTTCTCCCTAAACTATTGAATCATGCCCAAATTGTTTTAAACAAGGTGTTTATAAACCTGAGTAAGAAACTATCCCTGATTGTTCCCATAAAAGAATTCATGAATCAGTTACAACAGGGTGAATTATTGGCAGACTTTCCCACGCCTGTTCCTTACCCATAGATACAAAGAGTCTAGGAAACAAGAAAAAATTATATAGGCCCCTACCCACAGCCCAGGGATACCTCTGGGTAGCATATTGGATTAATGGCAAATTATGGTATCCCTCAAGAGGAGCTAATAGTCTCCAGAGGGTCCCAGATCCCCCATTGCCTTATACAGGAGCATATAATGAGGGTGACATTAGAATGGTCAATAAGGATGAAGTCCAAGTGCCTTATAATAGTCTGAATTTCATGGAAAGGCTAGCTCGAAGCAGACCTCCCTGGTGTTTATTAACTAAGGAACAAAAAGGGTTTACTATAGCTGAATTTCCTGTTTATCTCTTCTTATACATTTGTTTTGGTGATCAAAGTGGTGGGATTGTCAGATATTTGTATTTCAGGTTTATTGATTCACATAATTCCAATGAAGCTGTATAAAATAATTTCTTGACCAGAGAATAAAATCCCCTCTAATAAAATAGCCCCTCAAAGTCTAAAAGTTGTTGGAGTAACAGCCCTGTCTTTACCTTGAATAGGAATATATATCAAGTAGAATTAGACAGGCAAAGAAATAAGAAAAGCTGGTTAACTATTATAAATTAAGCATGTAGAAACAGTTACCAGGGAGTCAGAGTCCACGGTACATAGAGAAATATTTTAGACAGAAAAGGTAAATAGGTAAGTTAGACATCACAAAGGCCTTATAATAAATTTCCTATAACCTCTATTCAATTTAGCATATCCTTTTGCCCCATGACAAATTCTGAGAACTTTAATAAACAATAAGATATTTAAACTCTGTATGTACAGCTATTTCTAATTGTCTGATTTATGGCTCTCCTGGTTAAAATAATGTCTGTTTAATATAATTGAATCTATGGGAATTTTTGTATTTTTCCTGGTTACCTTTGTATTAATTTTTTTCTGCTTCACCTAACTGCAAATGTCAATCACTGCTAAAAATGAAAGTATAAAAACCTGCTTGTACTTGCAGTAAACGGAACAGAGCATCACTGTCCCCATCGCTGACACCTTACCCATCTTTCAGGAACCCCTGGACCTAGCTGTGGCTGGACCGTGGCAGGTAACTCTCTCTTTTTCTCCCCTTTTCTCTCTAAAATCAATACACATATTATTGGGTGAGGATTAAATATGTGTGTGTGTGTGTGTGTATATATATGTATATATGAATGCACACTATACACACACACATATACAGGGTTCAGCCAAAGTAACACCTACTTGAGTGTGGTTGGTAGGGTAATGATATGGGTGTAATAATTTATAGTTTCAATTTGAACATTTCACCTAAATGTCATGGTGTACTTGAGTATGATATTGTTACGTTACATAATTACATGCTTATGATTTTGTAATAAGAGATTTTATAATAAAAAAGGGGCATTACTTGTGCTGGACACTGTATATACAGTGATAACTTTATAGTTGTTGCAAATGTCTTGAAATATTTACTGTACAATTATTCATTAATTTTAATAGTACTACAAAATTATAGTAGTCATTATACTGGCCCTCAGTGCTTGTTATTTAATATGTAATAAAATAGTTCATATTTCTCAATATTACAGATTTGCTTTTTAATATTGTAATGACTGCTATTCAGTAACATCAATTTCCTTTGTATTTGTATATACTTAGTTTGCCTCATTTAAAAACATTTTTGGAAAGAGAGATCTACAGGCTTCTCCATCTGCTAAAAGGGCACACCTAACAGAAAATTATTAGAATATTGCATTAGATGAAAGGTTAGTGGTAACTTTATAATGGAGGAATTAGGGTGTTACTTTCTAACTCTGCTGATCAACTTCAGAACCCTAAGAGTGGGACATCCAGACATTGTGTTTCCCTACACAATGCAATTTGAAGTATACTGCATCACACAAATGCTTATACCTGGAAATAATTGATCCTTAGACCACACTCTGTAATAAAACTTTCTGTGAAAATGCAAATGTGTTAATGCTTGTGCTACCCAATACTTCAGCCCACTAGCTGCACCTGAAATGTGGCCAGAGCAGGAGAGCAACTGCTTTTTAAGTTTTGTTCTATTGTAATTAATCTTCATTTAAATGGTCATATGTAGCTATGATAGTACCTACACTACTTGAAAACCATCATTAGAGCTTTTACAAAATATAAGAGCTAGAGAAATAAGTTAAATAATACCAAGGAAAAGCAAACAGACCAATGCAGATTACAGAATGATCTATAGGAAAACTGACCCTGTTTAAAAAAATCAATGTCAAAAAATATTTTGTTAAAAGAGTACTAAAATAAATAACAAAATATAATGCAAAGACCTTGTTTGGATCCTGATCCAACCAGTTCATGACATGAAGACATTTTGAAACAATCACAGAAACTTGAATATTATGTTATATTAAGAAATTACTATTAAATTTTTTAGGTATGATGATGATATTAGAAAATTTCTATAGTTTTTAAAGATGCATACCAAGGTATATAAAGTTGAGCTAAAACCAATTCAAAGAACTGCCTTACATTATCTTAGCAAAAACAGAAGTGTATAGATGAAGCAAGTATAGGAAAATTCTAGCTAACCATTGAATCTGGCTGAACCTACAAAATCATTTATATTATTTTTACTATTTTTGAGTATTTTGAAATAATCCAAAATGATCTTTAAACATGATAATGTGCTGGTTATAGTGACTGACACATAGCAAGCACTCAATACATGTTAATTAGCAACTATTAATATCATCATTTTTCATAACCCCTAAAGCCAAAACTAAGAGCTATTAGTTAAAAACACTAAAGTTAGCTTTGGGCTTAATATACAAACAAGCTTTTTAACAATGAGAGCTCTATGATGATGGAAATACATGTCTCCTGAGGTGGTGGTCTGAGAAATATCTCTTACAACACAAACAACAGTGGGTTGCACTTATCAAACACACGTAATGAGTCAGACCTGGGTCTAAGCCCTTTCCACGTATTCCTTCATTTAATCCTCATAACAATGCCATAAGGTAGGTACTCTTACTATCCCCACTGGAGCTGTGCCAGCAGAGATTGATCATAAGGTGAGGATGTTGCAGAGGCAGGTCAAGGTGAATGGCTTTGCTAGTTGCCCTTTGCCATTCCTGACAACCCTGAACTCTTCTGATTCAATGAAAATGTCACTCAAATGAATTGTGCAGACTAGCCAGATGGCTGCCTCACACACAACCAGTGAACAGAGAGCAATTCTCCATTTTATTTATTGAGATGTTTTAAACATCACCTTTCCCTTTCAAGTGGGAGACTAAAATCCCACAAGAATTTAATTATCTGCAGGCAAGAGGATGATATGATCAAGAAAATGCTATATTTCAACTACCACATTTATCCATTTTCAAATTTCCCATAAATTGGAGGGAAACATCTTCCCCAGGCTGCCATTTGACCAAGAAATGTCCAGGGTATATCTTTGTCAACAGGTTACAAAATGTAAATCCAGATTATGAAAACTAAAGTTGATATACAGGCTGCTGTCATATATTATATCATTTGGAAAGAAATATCGGCGACCTTATCCAATATGACTGTTATAATAGTAATAAAATTGAATCTTGGAAGATTACATTTCTGGTCAAAGTAGTAAAATGTGACCTTATTCTATTCAACATTGATATTTATTATATTAATTTACATGTAAAAAACTGCATTAAAATGATATTAAATCCATGGTTAGAAATGGAAATGTTTAAGAAGTTTAGAAATAAGATTTAACTATACCAGTTATTCATAGAATTGAGCCTGTTTGATGCAAATCAAACTAAATTTCTTTCACCAATCTCTGGTTCAATTCTGTTTTATTATTATTACCATCTCATTCATACAGACTGTATTTTTTTCCCTGATGCCTCTTCAGACATTTTATAAACCTTAACTCATTTTCATCATGCTCTGGAGAAAAAAGATAACACAGAAAAGTGAATATACAAACTTGACGCAGAGGATCAAGCCATCTGCTCATGGCAGAGAGATTTTTTTCATGCCAATAAAATCATGCTTAGTGCTGAGTTCATGTTGGCCTCTGTATGAGGCCCTGAGAAGAATGCTGAGGTCCAGGGCTGAAAAAGCAGATTAAGAGAGCAACATGGACTGCACAGAATGGCCACTATGTCGAGAAAAGGTATCATTTTGAATATTAGACAAGCAAAAAATGTTTTAAATTTATTTTTCAGTTACGGTTTAGATTCAATATTATTCTAATTAGTTTCAGATATACAATATAGTGGTTAGAAAATCACATACTTTACAGAGTGGTCCTCCCGATGTTTCAAGTACTCACCTGGTCCTCTACATAGCTATCACAATATTACTGACTACATTCCCTATGCTGTAATCTACATCTCTGTGACTGTTTTCTAACTGCCAATTTGTACTCCTTAATCCCTTTATCTTTTTTACCCAGTTCCCTAACCACCCCCTGCCCCAACAACTTTTAGTTTGTTCTCTTTATCTATGAGTTTGTTTCTATTTTGTTTGTTTGGTTTGCTCTTTAAATTCCATATGTAAGTGGAATCATATGGCATTTGTCTTTGACTTACTTCATTTAGCATAATATCCTCTAGGTTTATTCAGTTACCATTTGCAAATGGTAAGATTTCTTTTGTTTTTTTTTAAAGATTTTATTTATTTATTTTTAGAGAGGGAAGGGAGAGAGAGAGAGAGAGAGAGAGAGAGAGAGAGACATCAATGTGCAGTTGCTGGGGGTTATGGCCTGCAACTCAGGCATGTAACCTGGCTGGGAATCGAACCTGGGACACTTTGGTTCCCAGCCCGCGCTCAATCCACTGAGCTACACCAGCCAGGGCTATGGTAAGATTTCTTTTTGTGTGTGCAGCTGATAGTATTCCATTGTGTAAATGTACCACAATTTTGTATCCATTCATCTATTGATGGGCACTTGGATCCACATCGTGGCTATTGTAAATAATGCTGCAGTGAACACAGGGGTGCATATGTTCTTTCAAATCAGTGTTTCAAGTTTCTTTGAATATATCCCCCAAAGTGTAATTGCTGAGTCATAAAGCAATTTCATTTTTATTTTTTTGAGGAATCTCCACAGTAGTTTTCCACAGTGGTTGCACCAACCTGCATTCCCACCAACAGTGCACAAGGGTTCCCTTTTATCCACCTCCTTGCGAGCAATTTTTTTTTAAAGACTGGTTAATTTTCTTTGGAGGGGTGGCAGGAATATATAAGTTTGTTTATATCCATGGGGTTCTCTCTGTTTTTTCATTTAATAAACAAAATGAGTAAAAATATTTTGTTTTGAAAAGAGTCTTCCATCCCCAGATTTCTGGGTGTCCCAATGGCAACCACTAGTGTGGCAACAATGCCCACACTTCAACCGTTTCATGGACCATATCCCTACACACCACTTTTCCTTCTTAAATAGGCTTTGTGTACTTGCAGTTTGGGGTAGACCATGGAACAACACAGTGCATTAAGGGAGAGGCCAGGACACACCACAAATGATTTCTTTTCAGTATCAGCCCAAAGTTCTAAGCTTACTATGGCAGGTCTCAACTCTTCCCAATATTGTTTTTTGCCACTCTCATTGAGGCTTTCAGCCTTCAACCAAAATTAAATTTTTACTATGCATTTGCTCATACCTTAGTTAATATTGTTTTCTAAATATCTTTCCCCTTTATATTATTAGATTAGGATAAATAATGCTGTGATAGCAAATTGCCCCAAAATATCCATGACTTATAACCACAAAGGTTCACTCTAGACCCATACATCAGCTCTGTCTGCCCTTGTTACTCAGGCAGCCAGGCTGAGGGAGAAACGAGCTGCTTAAAACAACATTGGCAAAAGCATGCTGGAGAAAAGAAAATTCTGTAGGGTCTTTCACCAGGAGACAAAGGCTTAGTCCAAAAGTGACACATTCATTGTACCATAAATAGCCACATGGTTCCACCAACCACAAGTGCAACTCTACCATATGCCTGGATGAAAGGAGACCTGAAAATTTGTGGCCAACACCATCAATGACTCCTGATCCCATTATCTGCCAAATCTTATCATTATTTCAGATGTAGGTCGAATTCCACATTCTCAAAAAGACAGCCCTGTTGCCTCTTGCTAAAAGGACACTGTTCACATTTTTAATAGACACAGTATGTTATTTTACTTCCTAATGCCCTTATGACTCTGTGAGAACAGTGTCTCCACTGGGATTCTGTGTTTTTCATAATGCCTAGCTAGACAAATGTTGCTTGAATGATTGAATGAGGCTGTGTGTATAATCAGAGCTTCATCTCCAAAGACTACAAATACTCTGGAGGCTAGTAATACTAATAGGCAATAAGCCTTTTTATTTTTGTTCTTATTTATATCATAAAGATATTTAAAACAATATTAAAAAGATTATAATGATGAAATAATTATGTGCCCATAATTCCACCACCCTAAACCAATAATTGTTTTCATTTCTTTTCCTTCTAGTGCTATTTAAAGAGTGTGCATTTCCTTTGCACAGTTATATTCAGATGGACACAGATGTAAGAAAAAGTCTAAATAAAAGATTAGTGACTACCCCATCAAATCATTTTTTTTTCCTTTTCCAAGGCAAGAACACATTGGGTCATATATTTAGACTCATTTGTGTTTTCTACAAGATGAGTGCCAGGAATTTAAAGGTTTCAAGCTATTCAATAAAGTCACCATTGTTCAGAAATAATGATGTACCCTTCCCCACCACTTTTACTTCTTGAGCCCATTCTAGAAGAAACTGTCTCTAGTGAAAGGGGCTTGGTTTCCACCATTAGAGGAAGAGAAACAATCAAGGCTATTTGTTAAATCTTGGACAAGTTTGGAAAATATCAATAGAAGGGAGAAAACTGTTGATGTTACTGTGTTTTGGTCCATTATTAAAGCACTAATAACAAGAATTAAACTAATAACATGTAAGTTTTAACCTCACTCTTTAAATTTATCTTATTTTATAATTGTTTTATTCCATTTAGCACACCCACTTATCTTTTTTTTAAATTATGCACTCTTCCTACTTTTCAAATTGTTGGAAGTCTGACAACCAAGAATTTAAAGAAGTATATTCATCCAGACTGGTAGAAGGGGTGCAATCATGAAGACTGGCAAGAGGTAGACAGATGGTGTGTGACATGGAGAGGCAGTAGTGCAATGGGTGGTGCCACACTCATGTATGGTGGATAAAAAATTGGCAGGGATGCCTTAGGAGTGAGCAATCACAGCCCTAGGCAAGACTGCACAGCCCAGAGTTCCCAGGATGGAAAGATGAATCCCCATAACTTCTGGCTATAAAAACCAGTGGAAGTTGGGGCAGTGGAAGAAACTGCCAGATTTTTAGGTGAGTCCATTTAAAAGGCCTGCACAGACTTAGAATGTATGCAAACCCACCCACTCTGGGATTCACCACCAGGGCAAGAGCTGGAAGGGTGCCATTCACATACATGAAGTGGGTGAAGTGACTAGAAACAGGAAAAGTGGCAGGCAAATCCCCAGAAACCAGGTAGTGGCACTGTACCCTTTCCAAGGCCTTTCCCAGCACAGAGGCACAAAGCAGTGAAGCAGGTTACCCCACCCTGGTGATTACCTCAGACTCTGCCCCATACAATTTACAGGTGCCTTTTCTACATAGGTCATGCTACTAAGACAGGGAATAAAAACAGCTCTACCCAATACACAGAAACAAATACAGGGGGCTGCCAAAATGAGGAGACAAAGAAATATGGCTCAAATGAAAGAACAGAACAAAACCCCAGAAAAAGAACTACATGAAATGAAGATGACCAACCTATCAGATGCAGAGTTCAAAACACTGGTGATCAGGATGCTCAAAGAACTCACTGAGTACAGCAACAACATAGGGAAGAAATGAAGGTTACACTAAGTGAAATAAACAAAAATCTATAGGGAACCAAGAATGCAAAGGTGGAAGCCAAGAATCAAATCAACAATTTGGAACACAAGGAAGGAAAAAGCATTCAATAAGAATGGCAGGAAGAAAAAATAATTTTAAAAAATGAGGATAGGCTTAGGAACCTCTGGGACAACTTTAAATATACCAACATAGAAATCATAGGGATGCCAAAAGGATGAGAAAGAGCAAAAAACTGAAAACTTATTTAAAAAAATGAAAAAAAAAATTGCCTAATTTGGTAAAGGAAACAGACAAACAGGTCCAGGAAGCATAGAGAGTCCCAAACAAGTTGGACCCAAAGAGGACCACACTGAGACACATTGTATTTAATGTGCCGAAGGTTAAAGATAAAGAAAGAATCTTAAAAGCAGCAAGAGAAAAGCAGAGAGTTACCTACGAAGGAGTTCTCATAAAACTGTCAGCTGATTCCTCAAAAGAAACTTTGCAGGTAAGAAGAGACTGACAAGAAGTATTAAAAATGATGAAAAGCAAAGACTTACAACCTAGATCATTCTACCCAGCAAAACTATCATTTGGAATGGAAGGGTAGATAAAGTGCTTTCCAGACAAGGTAAAGCTAAGGGAGTTCATCATCCTCTGTTGGGAACCGCCCTGACTGGTATCAGAGGCTGAAACCCCCGCCAAGCTAAGGCTAAGGGAACGCCCTTGGAACTGTAAGCCGGCAAGGAGACAAAAGCTTGTCTTCCTGGCAGGAATGCTGCTTCTGCTGCTTTATTCATGACTGAACCCCCAAAAGCTTGGTCGGTTAGCCAAAGACGGGTAAGATTCCCCATGGGGGAATGACCTAAGCCAGGCACGATCACTTTGGGAGGCCCCCCAAAAGAAGGACTTTGGGGGGCTGCAGCAAAAAGGGGGTGATGGACCCTCACTCCTCGGCTTTGACAAAGTCTGAGTTCTCAGCGTCTGGAAGAAAATATCCTTATCTCTTGGTTACCTAGTTCCCTTGCTCCACCTAAGCCTGAAACAATGACAGGGTGTTGCAGCTCGGTACTGAGAAGTGCGGATTTCCCGGGGTGATCAGGCCTAAGAAAGAATATGTAAATTACTGTGAAACCTTCTTTGTTTAGAATGCTCTCAGGTGAATGAGAAGGGTCTTAGGAGGAAGTTAGTTTGTTCCTCAGTCTTACAGCTCTTTGACCCCCAACTCAATAGACCGGCAGAGTTCTTTGTTTTCTATAGTTCCTTACTTCCCCCTAATGAGTACTGTACTTTACCTGAATTATTATGCAAAATGAGCCTAATAAAAGCAGGTATGGACGGTAAATCAGCGCGCTCCCCACTGGGGGGGTGGCCATTTCGTCCCTACTTCCCCACAGAAACTAGTTTGTCTCTGTGCATGTGTCGTTTTTTCTCGCGTGTTTATCGTCGAGCCATCCATAGCGTTCCGTGGTCACTGCTGGCCGGTGACCCACGTGCAACAATCCTCAAGATATTATTACATGAAATGTTAAGGGAACTGATTTAAGAAAAACAAGATGATCAAAACTATGAACATTAAAAGGGCAATAAATTCACAACTATCAAGAACTTGATCTGGAAGAAAAACAAATTAAGCAAATGAGCAGAACAGGAACAGAATCATTGATATGGAGATCATTTGGAGGTTTATCAGCTGGGAAGGGGAAGGGGAAGAATGGCGGAAAGTTACAGGGATTAAGAAGCACAATTTGTAGGTACAAAATAGACAGGGGGAATGTTAAGAATAGCATAGGAAATGGAAAAGCCAAAGAACTTATATGCATGACTCAGGGACATGAACTAAAGGAGGGAGAATTTCTGGAACAAAGAGAGGTATTGGGCAGAGGGGGAAAGAGGGGGGAAATTGGGACAGCTGTAATAACATAATCAATAAAATATTTTTAAAAAGGCAGAATATCTATACACAATTTTTTTTTGTATTAGTCATACTACCTAACAGGCACTAGGAAATTGTACCAGAGTTTATAAACAATACAGATAGTAATTTAGTCCATTTGGCTTACTCAAGATCAAGTAAGCCTTAAAATTGTACACAGAGCTGCTTCTATACTGAGCAGGAAAAATCACCCAAACACATTGCAACCTTATTAAATTTTAGAGTAATGATTTCTTGCCTATTTTATATTTTAATAGCTTATAGATTATTAGGTTTTCAAGCTATATTTTAAAATTTTATATTCAGTTTTTCACTACTTCCACAAGCCGAAATAATTTATTTTCTTACATTTTTGAAAGGGTTTATTATTTTATGTGCCATAGTTATTGATCTGAATCAAATCTTTCTTACCTAATTCAACAAAATACAGTGGAAATAAAATGTGACTATTTACAAATGTTAACGCTGCTATAATTCAAAAAGAATCTGCCAAACCTACTTTATTATAAATAACATTGTATATTTTTATAAGACTCTGATAATACCTACTTCAAGTATAAACATTCTCTGGAAATTTGTCAAAATAAAAATTTACCCATAAATAATATTTTCAGACATGAAAATGTTAGTACATTTCTCTTCAATTTTAAAACTGTCTCAATATTCATGAAATGCATGACAGTTCAGTAGTTGTTTTCATGAGTTGTGCTTTCATTAAGGTGCAAGACATTAAACACCTAGGAAGATTCTCACACTATCTTAAGGGAGAAATTTTAGTAAAAAATGAAAGAGGTACATGTTTTAGCTGAAAAAGTCACTTACTGCTGATAAAGAATTTGTAGTAGAATTTTCCCAAAAGAACAGAAGAAAGCAATATGAAAAGAAAATTAGTGTTCATCAAGAAATAGCCACCATGGTATGGAACAAAAATCACAAAGCCAAAATTGAACAACCATCAAATTTCTATACAAAATCTAAACATACAGCATCTGTAGTTCTAGTTATCAAATGCTGTGCAACACAGTACCCCACAACTCAGTGACTTAAATAACAGTCATCACTCATTGCTTCTCATGGTTTCTGAAGGTCAGGGGTTTTGGAGCAGCTATATCAGGGGTTTCTGTCTCTGGATCTCTCCTGAGGTTGGGGCTAAGGTCACACTGAAGGCTTCTTTACATACATGACTGGAACAGAGCCAGGAAGACTCTAACTGTTAGGTCACCCTTCTCTAGCTTTATGTATTACTGCTTTGTGGTCTGTCCAGCATAGTGGCATCAGGGTAGTCAGATTTCTCACATGTTGCCTCAGGATTGCCAAAATTATGTCCCAAGAGAAAGAAAAAAACAAGCAAAGGCAAAGTTCTTTCAGGACCTAGCCTTAAAACTCACCCAGTCTCATGCTGCCACGTTTTATTGAGCAAGCATTCACAATGGTGAACCCAGATTCAAGTGGAGGGGACATATACTTCACCTCATGATAAAGAGATCATCATCACACTGGAATAAGAACATGTAGGATAGGACATGCTCAGATGTGCCCATATCTCTGGAAAATCCAATCTGCCACATTTAGCTGCACAGGTTACCTACATTTGGAAAAGTAATTAGCAATATAGTCTGCAAGGGAAGAATAATAGCCAAATTCCAATGTCTGCTTCAGGCTTACAACTTTAATTGGGAACAATAAACACTGGTTAACTTAAAAGACCAGACATGATCAGAGACTCCATCTTCAAAAATATTAATTTGGTTAGAAT